GACCAGAGTCCGTGCGGCCGCCCTCTCCGTCGGGGCTGTGTGGCCCAATGACCACAGTCCGTGCATCCGCCCTCTCCGTCGGGGCTGTGTGGTCCAATGACCACAGTCCGTGCATCCGCCCTCTCGGTCGGGGCTGTGTGGCCCAGAGACCAGAGTCCGTGCGGCCGCCCTCTCCGTCGGGGCTGTGTGGCCCAGAGACCAGAGTCCGTGCGGCCGCCCTCTCCGTCGGGGCTGTGTGGCCCAATGACCACAGTCCGTGCATCCGCCCTCTCCGTCGGGGCTGTGTGACCCAGAGACCAGAGTCCGTGTGGCCGCCCTCTCCGTCGGGGCTGTGTGACCCAGAGACCAGAGTCTGTGTCTCTATCCTGTCTCTTATGCCTGTGTGGCCTGATGGCTCCAGACAATATGGCTGCTCTCTCCCTCAGTGCTGTGTGGCCCAGAGACCAGAGTCAATATCGCTGCCCTTCAGCGCAGGGCTGTTTGGCTGAGAGTTCAGAGACAAGATGGCTGCCCCTCTTCTTGGGGCTGTGGAATCAAGTGGCACACTGGGGACGTGGGCTGCCACACAAGGATGGATGGCGGCCAGAGCAGGGGGACCCGGGCCCTCGTTACTCCACCGGGTCCTAGCCCGAGGCCTTGTCCATGGCCAATGTGTTTGCCATTGATTCAGTGGGGATCCAACCAGAACATCTGACGTCACTCAGCATGACAATGGCTAGTTCACCCAGGTTACTTCCTACGAGATGTCTCTAGGCCTTGGGCTGGGGGTCTCTGGGCTCCCGGCCTGGGAAACTCCCAGAGACTCCGATCTCCCCTGCACGTCTGCAGGCCCCTGGGGATGCGGCTGGGTCTCAGCTCCTCGCGGCTCTGCAGTCAGGGGCTTCAGCTGCTTCTGGATTGGAGCCCACAATGTGCATCCTCCATTTTCGGCGCTCTGTCTAGACAGAGCTGAGCTGCTCCCTGTCACACGGGTGCTCCAGCTGTAGCATGTCCGGCAGGGCTGGGGAGGGGCTTGGCTTCCTCCGGCTAGACTATGGGGTTCTGTGTGGCTGGTGCACCCGGCACATCCTGCTCTGCCTCTTCTGTCTCCTCCTTCCCAGGCAACAGCTGCTTTGGCGTCTCACAAGAGATGTGATCGGCGGTGGGCTCGGCTGGCTCTTGTTAGCCTCTAGATGTCTGTAGGAGGGAGAAAGGGCAGGAACACAAATCAGAAGAACAAAACCTTCAAGCAGGGGAGTTTTCCACGGCACAACCCCTCCACACACACTTTGCTAAAGCTCATTTGCAACTTCCCTGAGAGCTGGCATTGCTTAAACACAGCCCCCCGCCCCCAGGCCCCGCAAGCTCCGCTGCCCTGTGGGCTGGCAATGGTTGAAGGGAGTCTGGGAGAATTTCTCCTCTGCCCGCCTGGCTCCGATGACTGAGGGAATTACATGCGAGAAGCTCTGTGAATGTCGGGCTTGGTGCAGTGGGGTGAGATGTCCGACATGGAGCCCAGAGGTGGGGTTGTCCTGACTCTGCAGTAATTTCATTCCAGTCAGAGAGATTTCAGAGCTCAGCTACGGGGCTCTGCCTGCGTGCTGCGTTCCGGCCGGGCCGGCTCTGCCTGGCTGGGGTGGGGGCGAGGCGGCTCCGCGCGCTGCTGTTCCTCTCCCCCCAGCCGCCTCGCCGCGACGACCACCGCACCAGGAACCTCTGTCCCGGGTGCTGGTCTGGTCTGTAGGCTCCGCCCCCCACAGCTCCCATTGGCCGGGAATCCTTAATCCCGCCCTGGCCCTACTCCCCAGCCCGTTCCAATCCTGCTCTTGACTCCTGACTCCGGCTCCAACCCTTGGATCCCCTCGGCTCGACCTCCACCACCCTGACCACTAGGCCCCACTGCCACTGCTCACACCACTGGGCCCAACCAACCGTGCTTTGGTGTCCGACACCAGCGATATGTAGGAGTCGTTCACCTCACTGCTTTCCATGAGTATGGCTTTGGCAGCACTGGTTTTCATCTGCCATTGTGCTGCCCAGTCACATGGCTTCATTAGATCCCTTTCAACTGCTTCAAAGTCTTCTCTACGCCTGACTAACCTACATAATTTTGTGTCATCTGCCAATATCCACCTTGTTGTACAGTCCCGGTTCCAAATATAAGAACATAAGAAAGGCCATAGTGGGTCAGACCACAGGTCCATCTAGCCCAGTATGCTGTCTTCTGACAGTGGCCAATGCCAGGTGCCCCAGAGGGAATGAACAGACAGGTAATCATGTAGTGATCAATCCCCTGTCACCCATTCCCAGCTTCTGGCAAACAGAGGCTCGGGACACCAAAAAGTTGATAAGCGTCTGTTGTACGTACCATAGCAGGACAAAGAGGTCTTCTGTCTCGGTCCCGGTTCCCTAGTCGAATGCAGAACCCGACACGAGATTGCCAAGCTTCTGCAGCCATTTGTAA